TTTTTTTAACTTGGATGGGTCAGCTTATGAACGAACGGGCTTATGATCAAGTATATAGAGTAATTCATTTCAGCAAATGCATGTAGCTATGACATTGCCTTTGTTTTCTGTGTACTTCTTGAAAAAGAATGACTTTATTTTGTGTCCTGCACCTTTACATTTAAAAAGTAGCTATGCAGAGACAGCAGACATGTTGTTCTCAAAGAAGCCTCAGCCTGTTTTAGGTGAGAGGCACACCACGCCCTCTGATGTAGACTTTACTTGTATGAACCAATTGGTTCTTTACTTCAAAGTAATTTGTAAAGTGACAGAATGTGATTGTCTGTGTGAAAAAAAATGATATGTAATAGAGCTAACATGGAAAATTTATTTATATTACACATGTTTTGTGCATATTTTTCCTACAGAGTACTTTAAAAAAATCTTCCCCGGCCAAAAAGTAGTTTAAGAGCAATACTTACTGTATTTAATTTTATGGAAAATATATATTTACTCATATATTTATTAAGCCAGAATTTTCATTATATCCAATAAACCTATGGTATTTTGAAACAAATACTCTTTGCCACAGACAATATTTTTCACAATCATGCCTCGTCAAGTTTAATACAGTACTGATTCTTATTGCACAGCTTTACAGAAAGAGCACATCTAGGCTTGTCTGCTCACGGCCAAGTCAAACTTTTGATATTAATAAAATTATCCTCCACTACTATGTTCATGTAACTAATACCTATATACTAATTAGTAGATTTCTGCAGCATGCCACCAAACAAATATAAATAATACATGCACTTATAGCATTGCAGTTAAATATTAACTCAGATCACCCTACTGCTACTTATGCAGCGTGCTGCTTTAGAAACGATGCAGGGTGTTTTAAGTAACATGAGCATACACAATATATAGGTTCACCCAGTCATCCACTGGACTCTTTTGCACATTCAAAGCTCCACTGACTTCAATGGGGCCAATGCAACATATTTTTGTAATAAACTTACATGCTATGTGAATTGTTGATGTAACTCCATTGGCTTGAGGGATAAATTAGTGCTACATCTTTACTAATCCAAAGGAACTGCTTTATAATGTTACTGGTATTAGAGATAGGTCCAAAGCTGGTCTTGGGGTTCAGAACCTATGCCAGAAACTCACCTCTACCACAGATGCCTCGTGATACTACCTATGTCTCAGCAGTCTCCAGACATATTACTTTTCCCTTGTCCATGGCCCCTTCTGTGGCAGGCAGGATGGCATAACATTACCATGCCATATTTAAACCAGCTTCCCTCTTGGTTCCGTCTTCCCTTGGATCAAAAAGTTACTCTGAGGTTTCGGTTTTTAAAATAGATGTTGTTAAACTTAGATGACTAGAGCCATGCAAATCCAAGGATATACACTTTATTTCCGTGTGGGTATCCGCATCAGCGGATGTGGATGCAGATATCTGCAGCTCATTTTTATGGCTATGGAAGAGGAGGTGGATATGGATGAGCATGTGGATACAAATTTTGTATCTAGAACCCTGCATATTTGTGGATGTCTGCTTTATATCCACAGGTATCTGCATCCACACAGGGCTCTTTACATGACTTAAAAAAACAAATCGCACCTTTTGTCCTGTGCTGAGGGAATACAGAGCTTAGCTAAACTGGCTTTGTGGCTCCCTCGTGCCACAAATTCCTGGAAAACAGCGGCTGAAATGAAGTTGAGTATTGGACCCAGCATGTGAAATTGGGATTGCTATTGCATCTTCTGTTTACTGAACAACAAATAAATACTTTACATTTCCACAGCTTCCTTCAGTTCTGTTCTGTAGAGGTTTCTTTATACCACAGTCATCTCCATAGTACCTGAGCGCCTTCTAGTAGGACATTAAGCAATGTGACTGCACATTTATCATGTGTTTTGTTCACTCATCCTCTGCCCAGATGGAGAAGAGTGGAAGGACTTGTTTTGATGGGGCTTTTTGTATTGTTTTTAATAAATATACCTGTAGCTACATGTTCGTGTTACAAAAGGGAAAGGCATAGGCAAAGAAATGCCTCTTGCACATGGAAGGGAAAGTGGTGAGGTTCGAGACGGTCCTTAGTTCCTGGGGGAGCTCATTCCATTGCCTCAGAGAAAGTTCTTTCTTTCACCCAGACAAGCTTTACTCTTGTTGAGGGCTCCGTTGTGCCTGAAGAGGTCAGTTGTCAACCACCATCTTCATCTCACAGCATTAGATGGACTTTTAGCTCCAGGCCCCCAGTCACGAAGCATTTTCATGAACTTGATTTGAAACACCAGGAGAAAGATTAACTTATTTAACGCTTGAGAAAGATTAACTCTTTTAAGCTTCACAGTACCCCAATGTGTGTGGGGGGAGGGGAGGATGTGATAAATACTCTCAGACATTTGAGATAATTACCTGCAGGTCCTATGGCCCTCAAGAAAAGGTCTTACCAGGTGGCCTTAAGGCAGGTATACAGTTTCCTAATGAAAGCAGCCATGCCCATTTGGTCAACATTTGCTGCTTTATTGGCTTTTGATTCAGGCTATTGACTGCTCCTACTCAAGCTGGTCATCAAGTTCTCCTGATGTGGATTGGGGATGGGAAGGAAATGGGGATCAGGTGCATTCAGCATAGAGCAATTTCCCACAATCATAGTATAAACTAGTGCTAGAGCTGAGATTAAAATCCATGTCTCCTGATGAACTAGCCACTAGACTTGCACATGTGAAACTCTGTACAAACAGTGAGAATATAAAGGAAAGTCTCCAGTGTCTAATTTTAAGTATTTTCTGTATCACCAGGAGCATGCTGATTAAGATTTATTAATTTTAATAACCCTTTTGTCTGAGATACCAGCTGTTTTTTTAAAAAAACTTGCTTCCCCCATTACAGAGCAAAGCACAATGGCCATCTGTGCAAAGTAAGATAGCTTTAAAGAATAGACAAAGCAGCAAACTGGGCCTGATTAATCAGTCTCTCTCAACCTAGTCTGACAACACCTAAGTCACACCAGTATAAGTGAAAGGCAAATCATATCTGTTGTGAGTCAATTCTTCAAAAACCCAGATCATTACCGCAGGCTATCACTGTTAAAAGTATAAATATATCTAAAGAGGGGATCTCCAATTTATTTACAACTGACCCCATTATATCAGCTAATAAATCGATAGCTTCCTCATGGCCTCTTTCACAGTGTCATGCACTAGATTTGGCCTTTGTGTGAAACGGGGACTGTCTGTCACAGCAAACTTGTTTAGACAGCACGGCATGCACTCTCTTTTTGTCTGTGTACATAATGAAAAAGTTTGGGGCATGTGGGCAGATCACTTTCTTTTCACTTTTGTCAGATTACAAATTTACAACAGCCTGTTTGCATACCATGTGCCGGATTTTAATCAAGTCCATGGGAAGGAGGGATAATAAAAAAACGAAAACCATGATTACTTCACAGCTGATTTCATTTGAATAAAGAGCGGCTCCCGGACAGATGGTTTCTAGGCTGCTCTATCTCTGAGCTTCCATGATGCTGAATAATAAGAAACAAACGAAATAAGTTGCTGTAGTCTTTGGATCCTCACTTGTCTGATCTTTATTCATGTTTTATTCAGAGAGGAAATTAGATTCCATGACATTTTTTTTATTCAGGAGCAAGGGCAAGAAAGGGCCAATGCATAATATGCAAGCTTTTCTGCTTCACTAATTTCAAGGCTAAACTACGAGTGTTTTGCTGGTATAGCAATATTAGTATTCTACACTGGCAAAGCTCTCCCCATATGAGCACAACTGTAGACCAACAAAACTTGTGCTATGGATGGTATAGCTTATTCCAGCATAACTGCACCTCCTCCACACCCGGAGAGAAATAAGCTATACTTCCAAAAGCACAGTTATGCTGGTATAACTTCATATATATGAGAAATACCAGTTTCCTCACCCACATCAGTCAGGAATCACCCCTCTTTACATCCCTACTCAACATAGCCATGCTAGCAAAACTCAATGTTATAGACCTAATGTGAGAGTTTACAGATGGTTTTGGATTTTCTAAATCTAAAGTTTTGTGCTCGAATTAAATATATATATTAGTGTGTTTCTTTATCCCAAGTTTAATTTCAAATGCAACAATACTAATGTGACATACATTGAGACAATACACATCAAGTACAAATTAAGGACCACAGTTTTCCAAGCCTTGTTCACAAGTTTGGGGGGGGGATCCTAATTGTTTTTCATTGCCTTCATATGACATTTTCCCTTGCCACAATGGTTTTCACTGGCCACATGAAATAAGGTTTTGCTTAGTAAAACAAATACTGGACCAGATGCTGATGTCACACCAGTTTGATTTCAGTGGTGTTACTCCTGATTTACTCTGATAAAAAGTGAATCAGAGTATCGGGATTGATTTATATTTGGCATGTCCTCACCAGAAAAGTGACTCCGAGACTTTCTTTCTTTCTTTCTTTCTTTCTTTCTTTCTTTCTTTCTTTCTTTCTTTCTTTCTTTCTTTCTTTCTTTCTTTCTTTCTTTCTTTCTTTCTTTCTTTCTTTCTTTCTTTCTTTCTTTCTTTCTTTCTTTCTTTCTTTCTTTCTTTCTTTCTTTCTTTCTTTCTTTCTTTCTTTCTTTCTTTCTTTCTTTCTTTCTTTCTTTCTTTCTTTCTTTCTTTCTTTCTTTCTTTCTTTCTTTCTTTCTTTCTTTCTTTCTTTCTTTCTTTCTTTCTTTCTTTCTTTCTTTCTTTCTTTCTTTCTTTCTTTCTTTCTTTCTTTCTTTCTTTCTTTCTTTCTTTCTTTCTTTCTTTCTTTCTTTCTTTCTTTCTTTCTTTCTTTCTTTCTTTCTTTCTTTCTTTCTTTCTTTCTTTCTTTCTTTCTTTCTTTCTTTCTTTCTTTCTTTCTTTCTTTCTTTCTTTCTTTCTTTCTTTCTTTCTTTCTTTCTTTCTTTCTTTCTTTCTTTCTTTCTTTCTTTCTTTCTTTCTTTCTTTCTTTCTTTCTTTCTTTCTTTCTTTCTTTCATTTTTCATGAATAGCTAGTAATTCAAACTTAGAGATAACTATTATAGCTTGTAGGACCTGATCAATGGAAGTCTTCCCATTGACTTTCAAAGTATTGGGGCTCATGCTTACACGTGTCTCCCACTTTTTCTGTCTGTATTCTCTGTATTATTCCTCGATTGTATTCCTGGCACCATCTCTCTCAGCTGGGCAAATCACTTTAATACACAGTGATTCCATTTTTCCATCTGTCACCAGGAAAAATCATATCAATTCTCCTTTGCAAAGCATCTACTTGACTGATTTACTGATTGAAAGTTCTATGTAAGCAACAAATATTATTGTTTGTTAAACCCCATGGAGTATTATTCCTCCTGCTTCCCTAGTCAACGTCCAAAAGTTGGATTCTCCATGACCTGTTAAGTAGTCAGCATAAGAGTGAGTTAACATGGAGGGAGTGCTGCACAAAATCTTGAGGCTCATACTGTGAGTGACTCCAAGTGGGACAGTGTTGTTGATAAAATAAATCTCACCGGAGATCACTTTGGGATGTTTATTATAAGTAGAGCTGATTGACTTTTTTATTTTGGAGGGGAGGGGCAGAGATAATGGGGGAAAAGATCCTAATGTTTCCCTTTTTACTTCCAGCATTTATGTGTGTTTCTAAGGAATTGATACAAAATGACAGTGAACAGTTGTCAGGAAAACATACTAGTCACCTTGAATATCAGGCCACTTCCTAACCAGAGGGGTTTTTTTAATCGTCTTTCTCCAGTCTCGAGGCCTTGTAATGTACGTTTTCACTACAGTTACCAGGTGTGATTGCAACTCATGCTTCTAGATATTCCCCCACCAACCTGCATCTAGCTAGTTCCCAGCCCAGCCCAGAGAAGCTGCAGCATTTCCTACTTCACAAGCTAGCCCTGCGAGTAATTGCCCAGGGTCCAGACAGACTTGTGCAGGCTTGTCCAGTCAAGTGACCTTCATAGCCTGTGTTTGCAGTATAGCCAGACCCTTACAATCAAGGAATCCACAGGCATGGTTACCTCTGCTGGCTTACCCACTGTCTCCAAACCCTGAGTGCTTTTCCCCTGGGTACACAGCCTGAGATCCAGGCTATGTCTGACCCAGAAACCACACTAGCTTTGAGTCCTGGAGAAAGTATGTCCGCAATGAAATCTCATGGTAGACTGCCATCAAACTAGTGGTTTGAAAGAAGAGCTGGAGAATCAACAAGCCTATTGAGGGACAGTGAGATTTGGGGAGCTACATAGGCCTGTTTGCAGCAACAGGAAGCAAGCTGCAGTTCAGACCAAGGCTCTGTTTGAGTTGGGCGGAAGCAGAGGGTTCAGAGAATTATCTGTATTTTATCTGAAGTGCCAGACCCATTACGGTCAGGAGCTGCAAAGTTTGGGTCCAATCTGAACAGCTCTAAAATTCAGGGAGTGGGGACCAGAACTGAGGTTTTGATTTGGCATCAAATGGCACTGGTGCTAGTGGATCAGGTTCTTAATCCAAACTTCCCTCTCAGAAGGCTTTGAGGTGTGTTTCCTCTACACTGTGCCTTTTTGGATGTGAATGTCGGTGAGTGGGGACTAGATGAGAATTTCCTTTCTATTTTTGACTTTTTGGTAGTGCTTTGAATTCAACACTGCCCAGCAAAATGGAAGCTGAGGTGATTGGTCATTAATCGATTTACTCATAGCAATTTCCAGGGGGAGTTCTGTTTAAACATGGCACACAGAACACAGTCCAATGACCTGAATTCCATCTTCATTCCTTTGACAAACGAGACTTGTCCACATCCGGTTTTTGTGTCTCCATTGCAGCTCAGGAGGCACGTGGACTGTGTGCAAAAGTAGTGTTCTCCCTGATCTCCTGCTTCTTCTGCCTCTCAACACCATGTGGAGCCCTACTCTACCCTTTGGGCCTACTCTACCTTGTGCCAGCTGCTCATAGGCCTCAAGTGCTGCTACAACTGCTAGTATCAGAGGGGTAGCCGTGTTAGTCTGAATCTGCAAAAGCGATGAGGAGTCCTGTGGCACCTTATAGACTAACTGAAGTGTAGGAGCATAAGCTTTCGTGGGCAAAGACCCACTTCGTCAGATGCTTATGCTCCTACACTTCAGTTAGTCTATAAGGTGCCACAGGACTCCTCATCGCTTTTGCAGATTCAGACTAACACGGCTACCCCTCTGATACTAGCAGTTGTAGCAGCACTTGAGGCCTATGAGCAGCTGGCACAAGGTAGAGTAGGCCCAAAGCTGCTAGGAATCTCCAAGTGGGGTGGTGTACAAGTTGTTACAGTGGCTCTAGGCCATTCAAGGATTCTTTTGTGAGAATCCCCAGATGGTGGGTAGGCCGGCTCTGACTGCTTTGTATAGCAGGAACAGCGCAAAACAGCCAGAGGAGGATGAAGGAGCTGGCTTTTTATGTGTAAGTTGCTTATTTGGGCATGTCACCCCATTTTTATACATTTCCGGCTGCTCTGAGTGAATTCACCTGGTGGCAAATTGGGTATCCTTTGCAAAAAGAGCAAAATGCTGATGGATGTGAATGAACGTGAGAGCTGCAGTGAATCTAAATTCTGCCAACAACTAGATAGCTCTAGCCAGAAGAATGGGGCCCCTTTTCATGTTCTTAACTTGTGCAGCCATCCTCCAGACTAGACTGTCTTGGTTTGTTGGTAAAATGGGAACTCTCAGATGGTGGAAGTGGAGTTAGTTTCATTGAAGCTGTTGCCTCAGTTCACAGCAGTTGAGGACATGGCCCGCAAGCTGTACTTCAGTGCAGACTAGAGCTTTATCATGTACTTTTTCCTCAGCTTGCATGTGTATGGTGGATTTCCTTGTCCTTTCATGCTCATCTACAAACCTGCCGGGAGGTGCACATAATAACTGTGGCCAGCTACAGATTCTGTGTCTGAGGACTCGTGGCTGACTGTCTGTGTCACAGATGTGTAAATGTATCGATCTGTGCTGAAATCAATTGCCTTCATTCACCTGTTTCTGAGCCAAGTTAGAGGCAGAAGTTCCTCCAGGGTAACAGTAAGGCTGTGTCCAGACTCAGGGGTTTTTTCGGGAAAAGTAGCCTTTTTCCGAAAAAACTTCACCTGCGTCTAGACTGCAGCTGCGTTCTTTCGAAATTAAATCGAAAGAACGCGGCTTTTCTTTCGACGGCGGTAAACCTCATTTCACGAGGAAGAACGCCTTCTTTCGAAAGTGCTTCTTTCGAAAGAAGGCGTTCTTGAATGTAAATAGGGCTTCTTCGAAAGAGAGCATCCAGACTCACTGGGTGCTTTCTTTCAAAAAAGCGGCTTGCTCTTTCGAAAGTTCCGCGTGCAGTCTAGACGCTCTCTTTCGAAAGAGGCTTGCAGTCTAGACATAGCCTAAGTTGCAACGCACTCTACAAAATGGGAAATAAAGGATATGCCTTCATGGCAACTTGGAACAAACCTCCCAGCCTGGGTTGACAGATTTCAGTTAGCGGACGTGGGCTAGCACTCCAAAAATAGCTGTGTAGAAACTGCTTTGACATTGTGCTCAGGCTGGAGCACAGATCTGAAGACTAACGAAGGGTGTGGGCTTCACAGCACTATCAACACAGCTATCGTTAGTGCTAGCATAAGCCCAGCTAGCTAAGTTTGACCCAGGCTAGGAGGCTGGGTCCAAAATGCTGGGTAGACATACTCAAATGGGCTTATGTACTGAAATATGTCATCTTAATGTGGTCTTTTGCCAGATAAATTAAATAGAACTTGCTTGAGCTATCCCGTGACCTGCAAATGTAAAAATATTTGTCTTTACTCAGATGGCACGGAACACCACATACTGTAAACGGAACCGTAGCACACAGCAACTTGGAAACTCAAGAAGTACCTGTTAACTAATTCATGTGAAATGACACATCTCCTCTAGTGCATTATTGATGTGCAATCAGGTACCTGCAAGACCGTCAGGCAAGTAAAAGTGGCACAAAAACGACTCTCTACAGCATCGTTATTTGCCATCCAGTAAATATGTAAATAGTAAAACAGGTTAAGAATTTGTAGGTAAGAAAGAAATGTCCTTCCGCTCTACCTGCTTGCAGCTTGTAACCTGCCTGATTAAATGTTAACGCCTCGGAGTTGACGCTCTTTGCAGGATGTTCAAAGGTTTTCATGCGTTCCCTAGGACAAACCAAATCATACTCAGTGACACATTCAGTTCCCTTGTTCTCAGTGACAGTGAATCATTCTGGGGAGTGTGGCTACCCCTTGCTTTCTGAACTGGAGACAGCTCCCGTTCTTGTAGCAGGGTGTGAGAGGGATGTGCAGTAGAAACAGGCACAGTCTGGTATCTAAAAGTAGAATTTTGTTCATTAATTGAAATGCATCTAAGGAAGAATTAGGGTATGGGAAGGGAGAAAAGGGAAACGTTCCCTTTTTTAGCTGTGTCCCTGACACAGAATTCCATGGACAGGGTTTACCCCTGGAGATTGATACACCTGGTGCGTCTTCCTAGTGGTCAGAACTAAAGCTGCAGCTGCAATATCACACTGTCTTCTTCTGGGGTCAACTTGGGATGATAGGCCACAGAGTAGACAAGGAAAGGAGGAGGTGATGGGCCAGGACAGAGCCATCATAGGAAATGTACATTGTTCCCACTCCCGCCCCACACATCTGGAAAAGCCAAATAGGGCTGTACTATCACTTCTTGATGGGCAGCCAAAGAGCTGATAAAGCTATACTCCCAGGGAAGAGTCCCCAACCAGTGCGGAGGCCCAGAGCTTCTGTGGAGACAGCACCAACCTCCCATTGCTCCTCCAAGATTTGTGCAGGTGTTTGGAAGCCTTGGGAGCAGGGGTTGAATCAGGCCTTGTGGCCATTTCATTGAGGAGACAAATGAAGGGATGATGTGCATGTGCAGATAACATCCTGAGGGAGTTATTTAAGAGATGTGTTTGGTGTGAGTGACTAGGTGGGCATATGTGAGTACAGGATGCAGAAAACTTATTTGGAGATAAATACAGCTCATACAAAATAGGGAAATCCCTCATTCCTCTTAACATATGCATGCCTCCTTAAAACCATCTATACCCACAATGACACTTTAAAGAGGAGAATCTTTTCAGTCTGTTAAACACAGGGAACCTTATGTGAGAGACTGCATCGGACTCAAAATAAATCAGTAAAATGCTTCATAAGCTTTTAACTCAGTTAATATTGTGAGCATGCTATTTTTAGAGTGGGCCAGCTCTGAAAAGTGGGTTAGAACCAAGGATTCCATATTGAGGTTCCTTCAGGGATTTCCTGATCAAGGCCTGGTTGTCCAAAGTCCCTTTATGATGTGTGAGGAGGCAGACCCCTCCACCGGCATGGTACTCAATGCATGACTTTTAAGGGTGGCCATTTTGAACTCTGTTCTCCATGGCACACCAGTGTGCCATGGAACACACTTTAAGAAACTCTGTTCAATGATCTTCTGAAGTGATTTTTCTTTACCGGAATTTTTGATTCCAGTGATAAAGATCAATCTTTCTTGCAACAAATTAAATGGAACTAACATTAAAAGTGAGTGCAACTAGGCTATATCCCAGGCTTGCAAGGTCTGTGTACCCAGTGCACATATTTCCTTTCAACTGCTGAATCAATTCTAATCCATTCTTATTTTTGAGCATGGATTTATGCCTGGACAGGTATAGACTCGTGGCAAGTTTGCACAGCTGTTATAAACTCACCTATGAAAATATGGCCTATAAGCTAAAATGTTCAAACCTGGGTGTCCACAGAGAGATTCTTAATTCCATATTTAGACACCTAAAATAATGGCCTAATTTTTCAAAGGTCCCAAATGGCCAAGTCCAGCAGCCAATGGCATCTATATCACCCAGCGCCTTCCCCATACAATCTGCTGAAGTAAAAGCAGCAGCTGCTCCCCACACCCAAAACACAAATAGCCAAACTCAGCCAAATCCAAGCTCAATAATTCTCTTCTATTCAACACCAACATCAGCCTCTATCATGGTCCTTCCTTCCCGTAAACTGGAGGAAATGATGGCCCTTGCTAGGCCATCAAGGCCTTTAAACCCCAGCTATTTCAAACCATGGTGCCGAAGAGGTTCCAATCTATGGCTATGTCTAGACTGCAGGCTTCTTTCGAAAGATGCTCTTTCGAAAGCATCTTTCGAAAGAGCATCTTTCGAAAGATCGCGTCTAGACTGATAGTCTCTTTCGAAGACGATGCTCTCTTTCGAAGACGGCCTCGTGAAACGAGGTTTACCGCCATCGAAAGAAAAGCCGCGTTCTTTCAAAATAATTTCGAAAGAACGCGGCTTGAGTCTGGACGCAGGGGAAGTTTTTTCGGGAAAAGGCTACTTTTCCCGAAAAAAACCCTGAGTCTGGACACGGCCTATGAGAGAACAGCTCCAGCAGCTCCCTGTCTTTGATTTCCAGGGGGATCTAAGTTGGGCACCTCCTTTGATTGTTACTATGGCAAAACAGCATGATGAGAAGCATTTCCTCAAGTACCTATCTGCTCCAAGCGATATAGGACCATCCAGGACTAAACTAATAACTTAAATTCCACTGGGAAACCAATACTCAGCAAGTGTGGATCCAGGAGTACTTCAGGCACTCCTGCCTGGCACAACCAGCTTATTTCTGGCTCATCTCAAAACACAGCTGCAAGAGTGGGCATTCCAGTAATTCTAACTTGGCACCACGGCATGATAATGTAAGAAGTGGTGCTGGCGATTCAGTAGGTGAGTGGTTCAGGGTTCAGTGGGCAACACTCCCTTTTCTTTGAGCACTGAACCAATACACAAGCCAAGTCTTTCCAGATGAGGCACAGAACCAAAGTCCTGGTGACTTGAGTCCCATCACAGCCTTGGAAAAGGAAACGAGGATATTAGGCTTCATGTCTGGCCTGAAGTCTAATTTGAGAAATTCAGTTGTGGCTGCATCAATGTACAGTTAGCTCTGGCCTGCTGCCAGGTGCTACAGGCACATCCTAACTCAGGCACATCCTAACCCACAGCCTATTGCTACAGGGATCAGCAGAGTTCAGTACTGTGGGATGCAGGTGAGTACTAGACATATGCACAAAGTACAAACAGGTTAAGCAGGACAGGAAGTGCAATGGAACCTGTTTCTGCATTGATGATATCTCTGTGGCATGGCAACCAAGTCATCTCTCCCTGCTAAAAGAAGCAAGGCCAAAGAGGGGAACATGCTCTTAAGCACTCTCTTTGCATGCACAGGATCATTCTTGAGCCCATTTGCCCTCAAATCTGCCCCAAATGCACCCACATTCCAGCTTTATTTTTTTAAACCCCACATGCTTTAGAGTAGGACAATGGGTGCACAAAGGCTTTGAGACTGGCTCTGGCTCTGCGTGATGGACTGTGCTTGCCAGTAAGCTGTCTTGTACCAGAAACTGCGCTTTATGATCGCACCAGAGTGCAATAGCTTGGTGCTTCCAGTACACAGTTTGCAGGATCAAGCCTGGCTCAGTATGTGCCTGGGTTCTGCAGGAGTGAGGGAGAAGGATCCCTGAATCCTTGTTCTTCTTCCCAGCAAAGCACTAAGACATGAGACCCATGAGTAATCCGATCAAAGGGGGACAACTCTGCATGTTTGGCTGTGTAGGCACTTGAGAACCTAGGAGCAAGGCTTAATCCTGAACAAAAAGTCCTTCCTTCCTTTGTCCTGCAAAGTTAGTTTCTGCACAAGCCCTGCCGTAGATAAGCAGTTCAGTTTATTGTAGCTGTGCTGTTTTAGAGTCATTAAAATCATACCATCACTAGCCCTCAGTAAGTAAACCTGATCTCCACTTGAAGTATCTTGCTGAAAATCATGCTTAAGGCCTATATAATCTGACCTCATTTTCCACTAACTGTAACTGTAAGAACTTGTCTTCTGCCTGCATGCCAGGGCAGATGTGGTTTGCCGGTGACTTCTTACAATTATTTTGCTTTCATAAATATTCCAGAACTAACTTAGCATTTCAAAATAAAACAAGAATTATCCCAGGGCGAAAAAAGAAAATCAAGTCCATGTTATATAACATAGTATGAAGTTTACTCTTTGAATGGGACAAGTTACAGTGTAACAGGAGCTAAGTAACTAGCCATAGACTGCCAGTTCAGTGCTGATGAATGAGTTACTACTGATATGACACACAAAGCCCCAACAGACCAGTACTTAATGAGATAAAAGCTTAATTACATAATTTACTGACATCTCATTGGCTGCCTGATCCATAAAATTACAACTGAACCCAAGAAATACGACACTTCAGTTTTCGTTTTGGATTATTTCCCAGTCTTTGAGCAGAAATATCATTCGATTCAGACAAAAAGGAAATTATCCTTCTTTTTCTAATTATATAACGGACTTTACCATGACTCTAGGGTTTGATCCTGTTCACACTAAAGGCAATGGTAAAAATCCTCTTGTATTGTGCAGGATCAGAGCATTAGTGGGGAAGGAATTTTATTTAAAGACTGTAATAGTCACAGATTCTTACTCTCATTGTGCTCCCACCTTTCTAATCAGTGACTGTCAGTTGGGATTTCCCAGCCTTGCAATCTAACAAGTGGACCCACGTTGACACTTGCTACAGAATCCATCAGGAACTACAGCTCTTAAGGACAGGCACCAGTATTTACATCTGGACAGGGGTCTTGAAACTGATCCCATCAATTGATGGAATGTCCCTAGGAGGATACTAAGAAGCCACTTAATATTCTTTCCTCAACAAGAATATCAGTGGGATTAGAAGGGCTCCTTACTTTTAGGGCAGGCATGACTATTGAGCACTAAGGAAATACTGTAAGGAGAACCAGAACGGGAAAATATGTCAAGAACTCCTTAATTCCATGGGGAACTCAACCTATGGGACTGTATAAAGTGGAACTCCTAATAACATAGGAGTTTTATGGCTAATGGAGCCAAAGTTTGAATACTGGCCTGCCAGCTAAAGGAGCTCATTTTACAATGATTAATAAGTCTAGAGATGCCTAGGGCAATTCTATGTTCAGAATCACATCCAGGAAGACTGGAGAAGATTTATAGAATGCAACTGCATACTCAGCTGTAGCCTGGTGAATCAATTCAGTCTCAAGAGCTAATAAGAAGAAACTCTGAAGAGCAATAACAGCCATTCCTGTCCCTTCAGGAGGAGCATT